CCTGTTCAACTGCAGGTTAACCATTCAGAGACAGTGTCGATCACTGTGATAAGTGAAACTGCCTTAGTGTTAGTGTGTTTACATAAAGAAGAGTATTAGGGAAGTCTTGGCTGAATAAACATAGGTTTCCCTGTTAAGCTTCATTCAGAGCCTGTTAGTGGAAAGGAGATGTTTTGTGTAACTTCACAGTCCTTGTATTACCAAATAGCTGGGGCGCTGGCCCCATGTGTTGTGCAAGTGTGGCTAGCATGGTAGAGAGGAGTGGCAGTGCTAGTGGCTGTGGGGGTGGGCAGGAGAAGGTGCCCACATTTTAACTGTAAACTTGTGAATAAACTGTGAAAATAGTTTTTTTAAAAACCCCTCTATTATGGACTACTGGACTCTTTTAGAATATTTTGCTGAGTTTACACACCTATAATATTCAAATAACGGAACTAAACAAAAAAAGGGGATACAGATGAATGTCCATTTTGTATCTTTGTATTCATAATGGTTAGGATAGATATATAGTTACATTCTCTTAATGAATAGAGGGATTTGTTCTAATAGTGTTTGTAAATAGGATATCATGTCTGCATCTTATACAACAATTAACCACTAGGAAGAATGTATGCAATGTGTGAATTATTGAAATAGTCCTACCAATTTGGTTTGAAACTATCTAATTGCTATTTGTTTCTCAATAAAATTATGGGAAAAAAATTTAACCATCTATGGAACATCTATTAATTATTGTAAAGAATATTAAAACAAGACATGATCACAAAGAATATTAACAATACATGTCAAATACAAAGAATTTCTAGTTCAGTTGCATAAAGAAATAATAGGAACTTTTTTGCAACATTGATGATTGAAAGCAGAAATTATGTACTGAGCTACATTCCTAGTTCTCTTATATTTTTTATTCTGGGACAGGTTCTCACTAAGTCACCCAAATTATACTAGAACTTGTGAGACTCTTTCCTTAGCCTCCCAGAAGCCTGGGATTGCAGGCATGCACCACCATACTGACTTCAATTACTTTTTTGAATACATAGGCAGTTCAATCGAAATACCATTTTGCAGGCCATTTATTTTCCTATTGACAACAGAAAAGACAGATGTCCCATAATATGTAAAAAGACTCAACTATTTCATAATAATAGAAATTGAATTTAAATAAATATTATCTTACACCCATTGTTAGAGCAACAGAAGTTTGTGGGTGTTATGGACAACCAGGGGTACCTAACAGAGGTGTAAATTGGTTCTCCAATGTAAGAAATGCCTTTAGAACTGTTAAAAGAAAAAAATTTTGCCCTGTTGTAGTCAACAATTTTGCCTCATTTATGAAACTACCTTTTCTTTTGTTCAGGAAACATGATGAAAGATATTCAAACAATATTTCTTTATTTGTGTATAACAATAGAAAATAATTAACATAATTTCAACAATATCAATTCTATTTTTAATGTCATATATAACATCAACACATAGAACTTTGAACACAAGTGAATAATTTTAAACACCATCACAGAGTTGATTATGAACACATTATTCCAATAACAAGTTAAGGATTTCCTCCATTTTCTTTGAACCTTAACAAGGTCAAGAAAAAGCAAATGTATTTAATAAATTGTACAGAGACATCTAGAAGCTTGATAAAATGCATTATAGTTCAAGAAAATGATGTGTTTTCATGGTAAAAATGACCACATACTGGCAATCTCTCACTGGAAGTATCAATTTAATTCCTATGTCTATGGTTAAAATATTCACTTCTTTACTGTTTTCACTCCTTATGTTAGTCTGATAAGAAAGTCTTTAGGAACCACACAAGTAATACAAGAAAGACTCTTCATCTGACTTGCCTTTTACAAAATGTTTACCATTCTGCATTTGTCACATAGGATGACTACAACTCTGTAGGACAGGCCCAGAACATACAATGAGGAACAGCCTTCAGGTAGCACAGAGATGTAGTCTGGTTGACCCATGAAAAGCTTGACTGTCTGTGCCCCAGGGAAGGACTCAGGCATGAAGTCAGAGTCAGACATCTGGTACCTGCATTGGCTGCAATTATCTGATGACCTGTAGGACAGTGAGGTCCAGGATGAGGCCATCTCACATAGAACTGAATGAACCCTACTCGCTTCCAGAACATTCCCTGACTCTGCGGTCCTTGTCATAAAAGATAATTCTCTTATTGTCTGAGTTCATGCAGGTTAGGGTTTCCTTTTCTTCTTAGCACTAAAGATATCATCATTGATAAAATTCACCGTTATCTCAAATTAATAATGTCATTTATTTATGCCAATCATACAGATAATCAAATTGAACATTCTTGATAGTATCTTAACCTAGACTGGCACAGCGTTCTAGTGTCATGTGTCATTCTTAAATTCATACAGCATAAAAATTCATTGATTTGGCATATGGAAGGAGTGTGTGTAGAATATAATTCTAAATCCAGTCAGATGATCCAGAGAGATTATGTAAATGATAGCTTTGTTGAAATACTATAGCCAATTCCCACCAGTTGTTTCACCTTGTCTCACTAAGTACTTGAATATACACACATATATGTAAGCACACACACACACACACACACACACACACACACACACACATTCCCAAAACTAGTATCATTGCCCAGGATTTCCTGAAAAATATATGATTAGAACTGCAGTTATTTTTAACAATATCAGAGAACGACAAATAATCAAAGTCCCAAATAGACTTAAATCTCAGATAGAATGCATGTGACCATTGCATGACCTAGTCATTTTATGTAAAGCATTCCTGGCTCCCACAGAACATTTTAATTTCATTCTACGTTATACAAAAACAAAGCAAAGGACATATCACGGAACAGAAACTATCCTAGCAATAAGTCTCCACAAAACTGCCTTCATGTCCCTGTTCCTCAGACTGTAGATAAAAGGGTTCATCAACTGAGGTGCCACAGAATACATTGCTGAAATCACTGCAGTTTTCTGGGGTGAGGCAGCTACCGTGGAGCTAATGTATACCCCAAACCCTGTCCCATAGAACAAGAAGACAACCGAGAGATGAGAGCTACAAGTAGAGAAGGCTTTATACTTTCCTTCTGATGACGACAACCTCAGCACTGATGACACAATGTGAGTGTAAGAAAGCATGATTCCAAACACAGGAACACCACAGAAGATGGCAGCTGCCACATATATTACTATGTTATCAACTGAAGTGTCAGAACAAGTAAGCTTGATGATCTGAGGGAGTTCGCAGAAGAAGTGAGGAATCTTCACGACTGAGCTGAAGGACAGCCTTAGGATCATCAGGCTGTGCAGTAGTCCATACACAATGCTGATGCCCAAGGAGAAAAGACTCAGTAAAACACACAAGCGGGTGCTCATGATGACTGTGTACCTGAGTGGGTGGCAGATGGCCACGTAACGGTCATAGGCCATCACTGCAAGGAGACAGTTTTCCAAACCACCAAAAACCAAGGCTAAACCGATCTGAGCAAGACAGCCTGTGTAAGAGATGCTCCGGTCCCGTGTTTGGATGTTCACTAGCATATTTGGTACGGTGGTTGTGCTCATACAGATGTCATTAAGGGACAGGTTGGAGAGGAAGAAGTACATGGGGGTGTGGAGGTGGGAGTCAGAGATGACGGCCAGGATGATGAGCATGTTCCCGAGCACTGTGACCAGGTAGATAACCAGGAAGAGGCTGAAGATGAGGGGCTGCAGGTCTGGATCCTCTGTCAATCCCAGGAGAAGGAATTCTGAGATAGCTGTTTGGTTTCTAGCTTCCATGTATTCACGATCTATTTTTAGAAGTGGTGAAAATAACAAAATATACAGACAGTGAAGACTGTATAACTTACGGCAATGTTAGGAAACCCACCCATGGACAATCGGCTCTGGAATTCTGTCTCCACAAAAGTGACAGTCTAACTGTTTAACTAGCCTTATTATAGCATCTGTTTTTGCCATCCCTAGAAACTAATCCACTCACAAAACTTGCTATCATGCCCTAGCAGAAAAGGAAAGTAAGAAATGAGGACAGGGAAGGGTAGGGAAGGGCAAGGAAGAGAAGGGAAGGGAAAGGAAGGGAAGAGGGAGAGAGAGAGAGAGAGAGAGAGAGAGAGAGAGAGAGAGAGAGAGACTTTGTTTCTAAAGTTCATTGAGCTTGACAGGGTCACATTTTACTCTGAAGATTGTACTTGTATAAAAACACCACAACTTTAACTGCTACCTGCAAATATGCTAATATCTATAATCTGAGTTACTACAATGAAGACAGAAATATGTAATATAGAAACCATAGTTGAACACCTACTATATTTTTTGTCAAATGTGGATCATCTCTAATGTCTTATTTATTATTTTTATACTCTCAAACTAAATGAAAAAAATTTAAAGGAGAAGGAAAAAATTATGATTGTTGAAGGAAAGAGTTAATATTTAATTGTCTCATTGATCTTGCATGCCTACACATGGTAAGCTGAACAGCAAATTTAGCGATAACCATGTGTAATACACCAACCATAGTTAATTTTCTATTTTTGATTTGAAGTTCTGTATCATTTTTATTGCCTTATGTTGCCATATTTTTGTCTTTTTTCTTGTTGTTTTTAGTTTTTTCCTCTTTAAAATAAAATTTAAAAAGAAAAAGAAAAAATAGCACCATTTTTCTTTTTCATTTACTCATCAGTTGATGGACATTTGGGCTGTTGCCAAGGTTTAGCCATGACAAATTGTGTGGCTAGAATTATGGGCACACAATTGTGTGTTGTTGTGGTGTGTTGATCTTCATACTTCTGGAAAAATACCCAGAAAGGGAGTAGCTTCGTAGAATGGGACTTCTGATCCTAGTTTGTGAAGGAATCTCCACCGTGATTTTCACAATGGTTGTGTCAGTCTACACTCCCACCAACAGTGGAGTGGGCTTCCTTTTTCCCCACAACTCTGTCAGCCTTTGTTATTGGCTGATTTCTTGATGGTAGCCGTTCTACTCAGCTCTAAAGACTGAGATAAACTCCAGGCCTTTGTAGGTGAATGGATGCAGCCATACTCACAAGTGAAATGAATCAGACTCACGCATGTAGACACTGTACTGTCTCCATGAGCTAAGATAATGAAACAGTAATTAGGTGTTATGAAAGGGAAAGAAACCTCTAAAGGGAAAAACAATTTACTAGCTTCATGGCTCCCAATATATCCCCCTTTTCCAATTTATTTTGTCATAATTAGGTGTTCCACTGCAGTTAGAGAAGCTCTATTTGAAGAAGTCTTTCAAGGACCTTTTCATACTTTGAGCCAATCTAAAGATTGTAGGTACTTGAATTCAGCAGTATAATCCAATAGAGTCCAATAGTCTGTAACAGAAGTGGGTTATCAGTAGAACTGGCAATTGTCTGAAGTTGCTGACTTGAGCATTTTACAACTTAGCATATTAATATGGCATTAGTTTTTATACCTCGTGGTTATACTTTTCTGCTAGATGGGAAATCAAATATGTGTAGGTGGAACTTGGCCCAGGGCCTAAAGCAAACAAGTTACCTCACTCCTAAAATGAACATCCTGTCTGGTTAAGGTTAGCTATCAGCTTCTAGGCAACCTAGTATCATGTGTTACTAACTTCACAAGAGACTAAATAAAGGACTGATTTGTTGTGAATAAAAAAGAATAAATATATGTATATATATATTTATACACAAGAAAATTAGGATAGACATACAGCTGGTTTCTCTCAGTTCATTGAGAATAAAAGTTTATATTAATACTGTTTAGATAAGAAAAAAATTAA